CACCCAAAAATAGGCCTCAGCATCCACATGAGCATTCTCAGGGGGAGGAGGCTGAAAGTGAAAAAGGGCAGTTTCATCTGGCTCCAGCAAGCTTCTGCCCCCTTGGTTTTGCAAAGACAACTGAGCAGCAGGAACATCCGTATTCCGACAGGCTTCTTGTTGTGTCGTTTCAGCACTAACATCTAGAACCAAAAAGGACCCTGTATGGAACTGGATAAACTGATCGACAACGAACACCGCCGACCGATTGCAGCCCCTACAAAGGACAATGCACTGCGTACACGTATGCCCCAACGAACGGGCAAGGCTGCGTGGGGTCCATCCTGTCCCCCTTACCGCAACCCTCTCAACAACATGCGATCCGGGTTCACTTCGATCAACCACATCGACCAAGAAGACTCTTTCCTCATGCTCATAAGTATCAGCAGGCACAAACAGAAGGTGGTCCTCCGGCAAAGAAAGCTGGTTGACTGCTGGAAAAACCATGAGAACAATGGGATCAGTCTGTCCACCAAGAGCATGCCACAATCGGAGCGGATCATTCCACGCCTGGCTGCCTGGGCGGGACGAGAAGAGGGTGACAGGTATCGTCTGTGTCCATGTTCCTTCTGGGAGGACCCATGCCGACATCTCATCAAAGCGTGGGTTTCTCCACAGTCTACTACGGACAAAATGGTTCCATAGGCGCCAGGAAGATTCACGTCCTGAATAGAGCCGAACTGGTGTAAAAATGGGCTCGTAACAGTTTGCGAGAGCTTGCTCCGCTGCTGTTCTGGTCACCTGTTGCGCCTGCATCATAACCAACTCATCTTGCCCATCGTCAACCGGGGTTGCAGTGTTCTCCCCATACTTCGCATGCTGCTGTAAATTGACGGGTGTTTGCAGCAACTCATTTCCTTCGGAAGACACATCCACACTAATTGGCAAACAGTTCTCCTTTGCATTCACAAAGACCAGGTGCACATATGAACAATCTGGGACAGCCAATCGCTGGTCCCTCCGAAAGGTGACCTTAGTTTCGCCGTCCCTTTGGGAGTATAAGGCATGTACTTGAGCATCACTGCGATATCGGGGCATATCCATGATCTTAGCAACTTCTTCAACAGTCGATGTTCGAAGTATAACAAGTGCTTTGCGCCCCAAGAAATGCCACCCTGTGCCATCTGTCGGGCTTTCGGCCTCCCATATGTCAAAAAGGTGCACAACGTAGTCCTGCTTCAAGACTCGGTTCTCCACAGCAATGACATGAAACTGCTTCATTTCCCCGCCACTGACCACTGGAGGTTGCGGATCCACAGAAATGATGACTGGTGTCTTAAATGAGTCATCCTTCTTCCAGTAGAGCCTGAAGGACCGGGCCCAATTTGGGCCTTCAAGTAAGACTCTATCACATTCATGTGTGATTGGCGCAGTAGAGCTTACCCTCCACGTTGCCAAGATCATTGAATCGCCTTCATGCCCAAGGACATTCCGAATCCAACTCCGAAGCCCATCCTTCTTGACGAAGTTCTGCGTGGCAAAATTCGCAATTTCATACATAGGGATCTGATGATCCACCGCTCGAGCAAATCTCATTGCAGTAATAGTAACCGCCTGTATGTTGGCCAGATGCATCAATTGTTGTTGCATCAAGCTGTTGCCATCGTGTGGGTTAATGTCATCCCTGAAACGACCAGGGGTTGCAGTGTTGTCCCCATCGGTCCCACTTGAATGTAGCAATGGGAAACTCTCGCACACACTCCGTGCTCCCTTCACGAAGATCCTGACCAGGTTTCCATGCTTCCATCGTATGCCGGAAGACTCTCCTTGGGATCTACGAACCTTATGCCTATGATCAAAGGCACAAGCACAAAAGGAATGACAGGGATTTTGTTCCCCTTTACTCCCACATGTGTTATGGACAAGCACGGCGGGTGGGCCCTGCCCATCGAACACCAGGAAGTGCCAGGACTCTTGGTATGTGAATAAGGCTGGCTGCGGCCAGACAAGTCGGAAGGAGCAAGAACTCACAGTCAAGTAATCTCCCCAAGCTGAACAAACCACATCCCCAATTCGACCGAAATCTTCCACCGAGACTACCAAATCCCTCGGCTGACTGTTGCACCGATTCAGTGGTGCAAACCATGTCTTAGCTAGAAACGGACGATCTTGGAAGACAAGATTCTCAGCTTCTTCTCTGCGGACCGACCTGTCCTGCTCAACATCGGTTCCTAAAGGCTCTTGTGTCCTAGGATCGATGACAAAATTGCCCAAAAATGTTAGCCTGTCGTCGTCAAGAAGTGCCGAGTCACTGGACTCAATGTTAGATTCCTGGCCCGGACCGTTCATGGACGAGTGGCTGTGGCCTTCTTCAGTTCCTTCCGGAACTATAGGTCTACTGTCCCCTTCACAAGGCCAAGAAAAAGGACTAGTTTCGTACTCGCAGAAGGTGGCCTCTGGTAGGGCACTTCCTTCTGCAGCGTGACTCGACAGTGCATCTATGCAGTGCTGACCTAGGTCTGTTCTCTGTTCAATTGGGCCCCAGAATGAGGCCCTTGAGCTGTCAGGACATTGCTGAATGCTCTGCAAAGAATCACGCAAGACGGAGTTATCACGATGATACTGTCCGTCACTATCACTGGCTGCCTGAAATGAACTCCTATTGCCAATGGACATAGCACCCTGTTCACAAGCATGGAAAACCTGAGTGGCATGCGAACTCGCTATGTTGAGGCATATAAGGAGAGCTTTCAGCTTAACGCTGTGAGGTTTAGGTCGAACCGCACATTTGCGAGAATTGCAGACACTTCTGCAAGGACCTATACTATCACACCTCCACTTCAGCCCAAGTCTCACAAACAATAGCAAAAAGGCTAGTTCAGCTTGGACCCTAATTGCGACCGAAAGGTAGTCTGGCTGGATATGCACACCGCCGCTGACTAGTATTTGGCACGTCACCACTTGAATTGCAACCAGTAGAACAAACCCCAAAAGGACCCACTGGATGAGCTTGCTTCTTTGGTCAGATCCCCTAAGGGGTCGACGCCAAAGCAAGGAATGTATCAATGGACATGTTCGTCCAAATGCAGTGCAGAGTGCGCACAAAAACATTGTACTTACCCCTGCAAAAAGGTTCAGATGCAATCGACTGTCCCGAAAAGATGTCTCCGCAACTGTTCCATTGAACTCTTCTGGCCAAAACTGATTTTCGATTCCGGTAGGCACCCAGCCTTGCGGAAATCTATTCCACTCGAAAACTGGCTCATGAAGGTCGGTTGCAATCAAATGGCAGACCTCTGTACCCTTCCAAATGCCGTTTCGAATACCCTTCAACCCTTGAATGCATGTCGCCCCTTGAAAAACGGCGCCAAAAGCACCCGTCAGGAGAAGTTCATATTGCATCAAGCCATGGTCTGGTCCATCACCGACCGACTTTTCGCTTCCACTAAGATCGAAAGAAGGCGTATAAGCTTGACTTCTCACCTGTCGAGCCTCTCCAAGGAGTTGGAGGGCTCTCTTCGGGGACTCCTTGATGTGCTCCGTGAGCGTACAGGAACAGGAATTGTCTGCTCCTTCAACGCTTTCTCGGCTGCCGTCAGCAACTTGGCACGAGCTGCTCTGGCGGCCACTTCGTCTGGTAAAGTTCTTGCCAACATTGATTGCGGAGGCTTCGTCAGTTGAGGCGAAAGGTCGTTCGCCATTCCCTCCGGCCTCGTCATCTCCATTGCCCCAACATAGCTGTCGACCCGTTGCTGAAGATTTCTCATGATAGCGTGAGTACGCTCGAGCTCCCTCTTCAGTGCTTCTTTCTCCGCATCCTCGACTGCCATGTTGTCTCCTCCATCTGTTTCTTTCATCGCAACTTTGTTGAGCTCTTTCTGGGCTTCTGAGAGAGCGTCTTCCAGAGCTAGCAAGTCTGAAGCACGCTTCTCCTTCTCCTTCTTTCGATGAGCCTCCATTGCATCCAGAAAAATGCTCCACGCCTCCTTCTTCTCGGCTACCTTCTGTTTCAACTTTTCGATCCTCCCAATGATCTTCTTTTTGAGATTCAAGCTCCTCTGTTCTGACTTGATCTCTTCCATGGTGTTGGAGTCGCTGTGTAGTAGTTCCACAATGTGTGGATCCACCGGGATGTCCTTTGCTGCAAGGAATTCTCGCATTTCCTTTTTGATCTCCTGGACTTCCTTGGATTCCTTGGCTGCAGAGGAAGACGAGGATGACTGCAAAGACTCGTAAGCCGGAAAGGCATCCTCTGCCTTTTCGTTCTTCTTTGCACTCTTGTCTGTCTTCGCTTCCTTTTTGGGCTTCGGGCCTTTCGGCTGCCCTTGCTGCTGCCATTTGCTCCACCATGGCTTCCCTTGAGCTCCTTTGTATTGACCTCCCCATCCCATGGGTCGAACGAAACTGTGGTGCTCCTGCAAAATGCGTCGAGCCCTCACGAGCCGTTCTTGAAGGTCCTTAGACAGGTGGGTTGCCTTCTTGGCCTGCCGAACTAGTCCTCTTGCCTTTGCTCTGCGAGAGCGTAGGCGCCGGTGCCAGCTGGGGCTTTTTTCTCTTGGTATAGTTGCGGTTCAGCTCAAAGTCGCCGCTGCCAACCCCACCACCAAGCAGCAAACCACTATGGCTATCCGCAACGCGCGTAAAAACGCCGAAAAGAACGAACCCAAAAAAAGGGTTCTGGGGCCCAATGTACGCACCGCTGATGGTGCGAATTGAGCCCTGGAAGACCCTGGACATGAAAAAAGGTAACCACCGTTGTTTTTGTTGGCGAAGTGGGGTTACACTGGGTTACACAGGCTCCCTGAGGCCCTGAGGCCGCTGTTTCTTGCTGCAGCTCAGAGAATGGCTGCTGTGGCATTGATAGACAGGCGCACAAAACACTTGGCAGACATCCCCAAGACTTCTCCACGCTCTGAACGCGAAAAACTTTCCCAAAGTTCCCATCATCAAGGCGCCCAAATCATCGTCCCACGCGCCGAGTACTTCCCACCGCACTTGGACTAAGAGCTCTCGGCGCTGCCATGAAATACTCGCGAGCACCCTCGGACGAAGAGCTCTCGGATGCCTCTTCCGAACCTGGGCGCTGCGAGATGCTGCGATCGAGGCAGGTATGGAGGATGAAGTTCCCAATGATAGGATATTGACATTCAATCGAACGGGTTCGAACACGGATTTGGATTTTGTCTTTTTCTTCGCAATTCTTTCCAACTAATTAACGGATGGGTGATTCCCCACCATCTGAGCAGAGCAATACACAATGTTTGTTTGTCACATATGATAAAAGGCATTTCTGGACCCTTCCAGAATCACTGCAGATCTTCTCGGATCCTTTGAGATCCGACTAGGGATCCTAGAGGATTGCTACCGTGCGTCCGACTAGGATGCCCAAGTGGGGCTGCTGCGCATGGTTCGGTCACTGGGTCTTCACTGAGAGTTTCATTCTTTGGTGTTTAGAGACTGGACACCGGCTCAGAAGATCCAAAAACATATTCTTTACTGAACTCTGAAGCTCTTTCGTCTCCATGTGACGAAAAAGACCAAGGCATCACTGTGCTTTTCTTGGTGCTCACTTCAGAACTGATAGCATGGCTGAGACAGCCGACCTGCAATTCTGCCTCTGATTTCATTTGGAATGAAGTCATCCCACCCAATACTGTCAGCCAAATTGATCGAGAAGGCTTGCGGCACCTGTGGCAGCAGATTGATGTCCTGGGACTGGCCACCAAGCTCTGGCATTTCAACGTGTGGATGAATTCCACGAGCGCCGTGAGCGCATCTGACAGCTTGGGATATTGGTCTCTTGCCAAGAAGCAGCCTTGGACGCCTTTCCAAGATGATTAAAAAAGGTGAGTTGTAGGTGAATGACCCAGATAGGGCTCAATGGAAAGCCTCCCAGCCGCGCCTCCGTCCCCAAGCCTTCCGACCTTGTTCACGTCCGAGGTCCGATGGGCATCTACTCTTCGGACTCGTGGAGAAGATTGCCTTTGTGGATCAACAGGGTCGAACGTCCCTGGAGGGTCACAAGGTCGGTGGCCCCTTTGGATCCAACTTCCAAGTCTGGCTTTGTGCCCTGGCCAGGACATAGACATAGCAACACAACACCCAGAACCGTTCGGAGAACCGTTTCTTTCTTTCTTTCTTTTTGTTTTTCTTTTTGTGCGTGGAAGGACGTTACGGCCGGTGTTTGTAGAAATGACTACTCACTACTCAAAAGTGCAGAGGCACAGGTTGACTTGGCTGACTCGACCTGGTTGACTGGGTCGAATTGTAGTTGTCGTGCAGTGTACCTTTCTCAGCAGTGCGGAAGGAGTACGGACTCCGTTTTGTATGAACAACGAATGACTGTCATTCCCGTGAGTGAAATATTTATATAACTATATTTAACTGTTAACGATCATTCGTGTGTATTTCCTGTATATAATTCTGTCCTGATTGTTGGGTCAGAATTCGTCATTGAGTTGTCATCTACGAGAGTCGCAAGCGTCAGGAGTCTCTTAGCATTATAAATAGCTCTCGACATGAAAGTAATGCCGGGTCAGGAGTCTTGCAACTGCGACTTGCCACTCTTCCATGTGCATTTCTCCTGCTTAAGACACCGGGATATGACTGGCTCATTGCAAGGCCCCGCCAAATAACAGCAACACCAGTTCAAAACATGGTATCTAACCTTCTTCAGCACCCGCAAAAGATTTGCGCTTGGACGCCGTTCGAGGCTCCAGCTCCCATCGCGCCACGAGCTATGAGCTCAGTGTGGAGACGCAGCCGTGGTCCTTGTCCAAGCCTGGACTCACCGTGGTCTACAACATCCACGAGATGCCCAGTGGCGGCGAAGGCCGGGCGCGGGACATGTGGACAGCGGGGAGGGACGTAGCGCTGCAGCTAGCTGCATAGTTGCTCAAGGAATCGAGAATGAGCATTGTGGGATATCATGAGGGATGTACTTTCTGATCAGATGGTTGCGGGATGTTGCGGGCACTCATGGGATGAACCAGATCTTGCAAAGATACTTGACACTTGATGCTGACCAATTGGACATCCGCTTCAGTCCTTGGAGGTCTGACAGTGAAGAGAGAGGTCGCTGTCAGACCTCCACGGAGCTTTTGGATATGAGGAATGAAGAAGACAAACTTTCAACAAAGCACTGCAAGCTGGTGACTTCAGAATCAGGAGCTCAACCTTGGTTTCTGAGCCTGCCAAAAAGTAATACTCGGCAGATTTGATCTCCGCCGAGGTACTTTGGTGGCAAAGGCCCACTTTGATTTGAAACTGAGCAGCATGGAAGCGTGTGAAGTGCCCCCCCTGGCCAGCTTTCCAAGCTCAAGGGGTGCTTTGTTAAAGCGGAATCTTGTGTTCAAATAAGCGGGTCGCAGTTGTGCCAACGTTTCGCCAAAACGCTTGTCAGAAGAAAAACATTAGAATGGCCCAGTGATCCCAGAACAAATTCACTTCGAAGTTATATATATGTATATAAGGTGATCATCAAAAATGACACGAAGCGCACCAGGTGAAGCGCTTTCATGGGCGTGCCAGAGTGGAGTCAAAGAACAGCAGGCAGATGTCCGAAAGGAAACTTCACCGCTCGTTTCATCCCATGCCCAACCGGTGCACCAAAATGTGCATTTATAAGATTCTATAGTTATGTTACTGTATGTGATGTTATGATATGTAATTGTGTACACGCACGCATATATATATATATATAACAGTGTGTGTGCTCTTACCTGGTTTTGTGTTCAGGAAAACGATGAATTTCTATTCCCACAAGTCTCATTGGGAAGCTTTGGTGGAGACCCCTGACGAGAAGGAGCTCATTGGCTCAGTCACACAGAGGCTTGGATGGCAGAGGTGTGGGCAATATGTAAAGTGGGAGGTTGAAGAGGGCTACCACTTGTACGGAAAAGGAAGTATGGGAAAGGTTCACAATTAAGGACAAGGAAGCTCCCCCCCACTCTCAGGCGGGGAGCTTCCTTGAAGCGTGAGCTGAGAGGGGTCTTGCTCTTTTGAGCGGGTGCCTTTGCTTGTCGTAGGTTTTCTCAGTTTGTCTCCGGTTGTTCTCGGTTTCTTGGGTCACCTCTTTTGCATGGTCTCCGGTCAGGTGTGCTCTTTTATGTGTGCTCTCATGTGTATGATCTCATGTGTGCTCTCATCTATGTGCTCTGATGTGTGTGCTCTCGTATGTGTGTGTGTGTGTGTGCTCTGGAGTGCGGATGTTGGCTTTTTCACCATTGTCTTCTTCTCAAAACTGTTTGCGGTCTCTTGCGTTTATTTTTTCTTGAAGATTATGGAGAAACTACCCCGAAGGTGTTCTGTATCATGCGTGGTGCTCCAGGTGGAGAAGATCTTTCTGGATTCGTATGTTCAAAAAGGCCCCCTGAATCCCAAGACCGGGCTTCACTAAACAACTCAAACAACTTGTGCCGTACTGAAGTAAGTGACTCCATTCATTTCCCAGTGACCACATTTCGGACCTCCCGGTGGGGTTTGTCATGAGCCCCTTCTCCTCCGAGGAACACCTCCTCTTTCAACTCCAAATGGTTCGTGGCCAACCAGCGCCCCGTGTCTCGGAGCTGCGGAAAGTCCGGTGAGAACTTGTGGTGCCGCATTGATCGGACACCGCTTAGTTAGCTAAGACGGGCTGCGTGATTGTAACAAGAAGCTACTAGTCACAAGGGCATCGCTGTCACATTTCAGAGTGCCCAGAGCACCCACGCAAACCAAGCGACTTTCATCAGTCCGTTCGTGTATCACTCGGGTGGGCCCCCTGCTCTTGCCGCTGTGCGGGGTGACTAAGTTGTGCAAGGTAGGAGATGCCCAGTCTCCGAAAGCAACAGACTCCTTTCACTGTTTTTCACTAGATCCTTTCCATGCGGCATAGTTGAGCCTTGGTTGCATTATCATGGGTGGTGTCCAGCCATCCGCAAGAATGTTGCAGACGCGATATCCCACGCGAGGACCTCCTACCCAACGAGGTCCTTTCCTTCCTTGCGTTGGTGTACGATATTGACGAGACTCGACAAAGCTGAAATGGATGTGGTGAGGCAGTGCTCCCTGGCCAGCTACAAGAAGTCTAACAGCTGGGATAGACATGAAGTTGGTACCTCAGCAAATGATTGATAGGTGACAAAAGCTCGCAGATTCGCCGCAGATGCTGTTGAGTATATCACAAACAAATATAATCATATATATATATACAGATACACATCATTCATATCATCATATCACCCTGGCTTTCAGGTCGACCTATGCTGCACCTCGCATTCCACTGTGCGTTTTCTGTGCTGAACACCATCCGAAGAAAAACACCACCACGGCCTCGATGGTGCGTGGGTCGTTCAGGAGATCAAAACAAGCACCCCAATAGAAAAGACCCCACTTTTTCTTATTGTGTGTTTTAGCACATTCCCCAATACTGGACCTTGGTTTACCCATTCTGCAAACCTAGTCCTGAAGATTCCTGGGGCTGTAATGAGGGGCAGACTACTTTGCCTGGAAGCGAGAACCCCCAAACTAAGCCTTGGTAGGCTCAGCTCTCTAGGTATTGGATTTGTTGTTCTCAGCATGTCACCGTGAGTTGCTCATGTGCAGGTGCCAGACTTTAAGGCTGGCACAGAACTGGCCAAGGCCCGGCGCTAAGAAATACTCACATTTTCTGCGAATACAGCGACCGCCCGAGAGCAATTCCCTGTCCGGAAATTGGACCATGCTGAAAAACCACCCAAAGCCCTCCAGGGAATGGAGGGGGTTGGTTGGCGTGGGGAATGGAGGGGGAGGGGTATGTCAGGCCGCCCTCAGCAATGGCTCCGCCATCAAAACTTTGGAGGCGTACATCAGTGCAACAAAAGGTGCCCCTGGCGGTTGCAGTGTCTGGCGGTTGGAGTCGCTTCGTTACGTGGTGTTTCGTTTTCTTTCGAGCATGGACATGCTTGTTGGAAGATATCCAGACAAGGAACCCGGAGCCCCATCGGCCTGATCCTGATCCTACACATGAAAAAGGCCATTTTGATATGAAGTCTCCAAAGGGTAAAAGAACAAATCCACACCTGTTCACGAAAGGTGGAGGAAAATCCACTGCAGTGAGACGACCAGTCTTCACTTAAAAAAGAACACTGAACGGTCAATCTACAATACTTGATTCTTTGACACGCCACCCTGTTGGGGCGTCTCAGGTGCCTGAGCCTGACGTCCGACTGCTTTCACGGGCACCTGACAGCAGGGCCCGCTGCGCGGTGCGTCACTGGTGCGTCTCAGGAGGAGGTCCAGTAGGCGCTTTCTTCAAGTGAACACAGATATCCCGGTCCCTGAATATTAAAAGACATATTTCTTTGTGGTTGTTGCGATTTAACCTATGTGTATCTATGTGTAAGGGAAATGATGGAACCAGGCTGTGGTGAACTTTGCTGGAAATTGCTTTGATATTGAGACGCAGCAGTGTCATTTTTCCGGTCTCATTCCCACGCTTGGAGGCTATGTATGGTCAGCATGGTTACTGTAGCGTAGGAAAAGGGCGACACAAGGCGTTGATACGCTTGTTTTCAGATATTTTCGGACGCGACCGCCGTACGAGGCGGGTATTGTCAAAAATCACGGCACTCTTCGTGTAAACAGAACGTTGCAACGGTTAAACCCAGAGAAAAGCACGAGAAAAGCACGCCCACGCAAGCAAACTGCGCAGTACGACCGGAAGCCTGAAGGAATTTCATCTTCCGTACTCTGACTGTACATGTTTGGAAAGAAACACACATCACCACAGTGGAGCAGGGCATGAGTGCTATTGCTGTTCAGTATGACTCCAAATGCATCGGGGACAGGATCCCAAGAGAGATGACATTCGACCGTGTGAGCGGCTTGGGTGCTTGAGGCCCCAAGGATGAAGTCTTTCTGCGTCCTGCGTCCCAGTGGAAGCAGAACCAGGTTTTTGGAGATGCCCCCCAGACAGTCTGGCAGAGGTGAAACATATAAGTATCAGAACTTTACCACTCACATACATCCCAGAAAAATCGAAGCAGCTGCTCGGATACTAGTAGTAGAGGACGCTACTAGGAGCAAAGGGCATCGCTACTAGGAGCAAGGACGCTACTAGGGGCTCCTGGCCTTACTACTAGGAGCAAGGGCTTTACTACTAGGAGCAAGGACGCTACTAGGGGCTCCTGGCCTTACTACTAGGAGCAAGAAGCTATTAGCTCATTGTTTCTACTAGCTTCTTGTTACTACTAGTAAGGCACTTGTTACTACTAGCGATGCACTTGTTACTACTAGCAAGGACGCATTGTGAAGTCGCCAAGAGTCGATCTTCGAACGAAGCCCAACGTCAACGTCAACCGGCTGCTGTTCATCCACTTGGCCGCTCCACAAGAGCCAGCCATGAGCACAGAATTCATTTGCCCTTGCATTGGTCACTCATGGCCGCGTCAGTCATGCGTCGGACCATCGGATCAACCGATCCTCGGATCATCGGAGCATCCTCTTAGTAGCGTTCCTTGCTCCTAGTAGTAAGGCCAGGAGCCCCTAGTAGCTTCTTGTCAAAGATGTTGTGCTGGTTTATTTCCGCACAGAACGGGCTCTAATTGTGCGGTGCATTCTTTTGTGTTTGCACACAGAGCTCTTCAGCCTTAGACGCTGTTTCTTTTTTTGTGTGTGTACAGTTCATGATACAACTTATATGTAAAAAATATATATACACATAGTGCAATGGGGTTCTTCTTGGGAAAATAGATTTGCACGAGGATGCTGCCACATTGCAGACCGCCATGCATACCACAATATTTTCCTGCTGATACTGCGACTGCTACTGCTGACGCCACCCCCATCACAGCAACAACAACAGCAACAACAGCAACAACAACAACAACAACCGTTCATCCACTCCTCAAAAGAGCGCACAACGAGGCACGAGGTTGTTTTCTTCTTTGTGACGAAAACCACACAAGCTTGAATTCACGGCCTGATGCCCTAGTTCCATGCTTATGTTCTCAAACCATTGAAGGTCGTGGAACGAGTGGTCCACCTTAGTCATCCTAGTTTGTGAGCCTTCTGCTGCCACTGGCTCCTTGGAGATGCCCTCACTGCACTGGTGGCGTTCGGCGCCTCAAGGCTGGGGTTCGCCCTTGTCCGAACGGTGCGCCATCGCTCGAGAACAGACCGACTTGACACGACATACCTGTCCCCGGTCAAAACGACCGTGGCTTGACCACGAAAAACGAACAGAATAGCCCACCCGGCGAGTCAACCCACCCTGGTGAACGGGGGCTCCGGGTGCCACCGTCAGGCTGCGCGGTCGGGCATGCGACGAGCATGGCAGGTGGGGCAGTGGATGGACAAAGCACCCCGAAAACGAAACCCCTGAGACCAACGAGGGTGTTGGAAGCATGTCTGACACAACGTGTCTTTGCAAACCAGGAACTCTTTGTTGGAGTTGGCAAATCATGGGTAATTCTGGGCGAAGATGATTGAACCATGGTGAACTCCCAAGAGATATAAAAAGAACAGTGTGCTTCAAAGTGGCTGGAGGTTCCTTTGCGTCCGGCGGCTGGAGGATTGGTTCCTCATACAACAGAGACATACTGATGCAGCGGCCTCGCCAGGCTTTGCTGGCCGCACTTTGCCTACCTTCACAGGCCTGGCAGCGGCAGATAATATAGGGCTTTGGTAAAAGGAATCTGGACACGCCGGACAGAGGATGGTGCAAGACAAGAAGCTACTAGGAACAAGAAGCTACTAGGGGCTCCTGGCCTTACTACTAGTTGCAAGGACGCTACCAGGGGTTCCGGCTCCTGGCATCGCTACTAGGAGCGATCGGACGCTATTCGACGTCCGCAGTGGGACGATCCACGATACAGCCGACCTTAGCGGCCACGAAGACTTGCAATCAATCGAGTGAACTTTCCGTGCCAGGTGTACTTTCCTCACTCTCTGAAGCAGGGTCAAAAGCCATACTTAACAACATTGGATCCACTGATTTAGTCACCCCGAAATAGATAGACAGCCTTGAGATTTTTCTATCTATTATTTGGAGAGCACTTCGGGAAACACTCTCTCCGTGGCACTCACCTGGAACTTCAAAACAAAATGGTTGAAGCCTCTGCATCACCCTCTCGACTCTGAAGGCGGCTGAGCAGAGAGACGATGGCTCGGTAGATCCAGATCCCACACAACTGGCAAAGGCACGGGACAACAAGAGGGAAAAGGCACAATAAGCACATACATTGCATTCGATCTGAGGAAGCTAGAGAGTGTGAGGGTGTCTTGACAACGATCTTGTATTAGCAGATGATTATGAAGCAAGGATCATGAGAGTTCTTCCGTTTGAGGCTTCTCATTGTCCAGGGCGTTCAAGAACCAAGGAAACGCAGCATGACTTGACTGGTCAGTCCATTACAGCCTGACGATCTTCCAACCAGGAGATCATGGCGATCTTCCAACCGCAGATGGTAGCCTGGCGGAGTGGACTGGACTCAACTGGATTGGACTTAACTAGATTGGTGGGATGTGACGGAAGGGGCCCAGGGGCCCAGTTCAGCGTTTGCAGTTGCAGTTGATGTCTGCTTAGGATTATTTGTCCGTGACATTTTGGAGACTCGTGATGCCCCACATAGCTTGGAATCGCCTACAGCATGATCTCAGACAAACCAGATGAGCCGGGGTCCTTTGCTGTTGAAACATGAGCCTGAACGTCTTTACTCTCTACCCCCGGCCCCCCGCTTCGTACAAAAACCATCAACCCCTTCAGGTTAGTGTGTTCAGATAATGCACTGTCAATCTTCAATATAAAACTGCAAAGCTCCTTGCTGCTTCTTGGTTTCCAGGTTTTATTGTTCTACTCGGTTAGGTGAAATCACTTCTTATCCGGTCTCGACTGGCTGCATCATCGGCTCGAGGCTAAAGCCTTTGGGAGGCCATGATTGAAGGGCTCAGGGGTGAGATCTCGTTGGGTTTTGCCTCACGAAGAAAAAACGATGGATGCTGAAGAAAAAGGGTCTGTTGAAAACAATGCTATCTTCTGGGGCCGGCATTTGAAAAGCGCATTTTAGATTTGACATGGTGCGCCCCACAGGGAGCACTTTCCGGTGATGTGCAAGCTACAAGCCAAGTCCGATGCGTAACACAGCGCTTTTTGTGGTCATGTCGGGCGTCGAAGCATCACTTCCCAAACTCTACTCAGAACTTACCGGATGCAGCCTGTCCAACCTGTGATGGTAGACCTTAGAGTTGCCCAAACCCTTTCTTTGACCTGGATATTTTGGGCTAGCTGGCCTTGACAGGGAAAAACCTGTTCATTGAACATGAAGTAGTTCTTCTGGGTAGACAACCGCCATTTTGGCCGTTGAGCGTTTGACCGACCGGTTCGGAAAGGCTTAGTGGGTTGAGCTACTGTGGGCGCTGAGCTCAGATCGACTGGTGTAGGCGGTATCTCTAGAATTACTTTACTTCGAGTGATCCCCACTCTGAAAAGGCGATTTGTGCGGATTGACATGATGTTCTGACGCTTGTTCTGGCATCAAATCTGGTTTGTGCTCTGACACATCATCTATCATAAAAGCTGGGAAACGTTCTGGACTGTGTTCTGACATGTTTGTTGTTCTGACATTTTTCCTGTCTGACATGTGCTGTGACATATGGACCAATTCCAGTCCTGGTATGTGTTCTGACATGTATTCCGACATTTGTTCTGCCATCCAAGATATCCTGGATTTCTATCTTGCATAAAATCAGACATTCTATCTGGTATATACTCTGAGTTCTATCTGGCAAAGTTGCTGGCGTTCTATCTGTTATAGCTGCCTGCATTTTTCCTGGCATCAGTGGTGGCATTCTATCTGGCATATAGTCTGGCACTCAACTTGGCAAATGCTCTGGCTTTCTATCTGGGGTACATGTTGGTACAGTAGTGCCCACTGCCGTCTGGCGCTTGCTGGTGAGGTCCGGGAGTGCCCACTGCGATCGTGCACGTGCGGTTGAGGTATAGCCCATTACGATCTGGAGCTGGCGGTTGAGGTGCGGCAGTCAAAATGACGAGGAGAGGGGAAGAGGAGAGGGGGAGGAGGAGAAGAGGAAGAGGAGGAAAAGGAGAAGAGCTCTGATAAAGTCTAACAACCCTCACCTGGCAGGTGGGGAGAAACTGAATATCCGCCATGTCGAAACGAAAGGGCATGCTTCCACGAACTCATCAAAATTACAGTGGCTATCGCTGGTTTACCTTCACGCACAAAGTGCGGGAACTTTCCAAAAGTCAAACAGCTAGAAGAGCCAAGCTTTTGGAATCGGATAGATGATATATATATATATAGATGTTACATCTGCTGTTCTTGCAACCGTTTTTGACAGCTTCGTTTGCACAGAAACGAGCAGGCAGCTAGACAAAAGACATCAAGAAGTCTAGCCACAACCAACATGTAGCGGCTTACATTCAACATTCAGCCCAATGCCCCACATGTAGAATCTTGGACGCTCCAACTCCTCATCGCCATACAGCCTTTTGATAACAGGCGGTATATGATCCAAAAACAAATGTTTCCACACCTCCCACGGTCCGAGTGCGACCCAGGCTCTCGCTGGAAACTCCTGCAGTGGAGAACTGTCCCGAATGCAGAGCGGCAGGCTTTGAGGTGGGGTTGAGACTTTCATAGACATTCTGGATCCAAGTGGTCGCCAGAGTCTGGCATGTCAAACACATTGTGTCACCCATGATTGGGCCATAGGGTTGCAAGGGGTGCGTCGAACCCCAAGATATGGTAGGTTGTTTGGGGTAAGAAACCTGGCTTTAGGCCCAAGAGTTTGGCAAAACCAAACATCCACCTGTTGTGTCATGTGTTTTTTTTTGACGGATTCCGTGACATGCAAACTATAATGCAGCAATAGGGCTGAGAAGGACCTGATGGCCCACGAGTGTTCACCTACTTTCCCAATGATTGACGGCCTTTTCCAAAGCTTCGAACGTTGGCCAGTGGTTTCAGCCCGCGCCAGGTGGTGAAAGGATCTGTCGAACCGTTCTCGGTGGAGCGGCTCGTTTGAAAACCCATTTTGTTGTCGAATAAATCTCAATGATGCAGATGGGAAGGCAGTGTTGGGTTTGGAGGATCCATACCAGGACAAGGGGGACAAGGTATGTCTCTTATATCGTTTTGGTCTTTCAATTACTGTAGTATGTCTCGCAACAATGCATCAATAGGGCGCCCCAAAATCACTGTAAAAGGAAAGCGGTATGACAAACACTTGCGGGTCTTGGGCCTCATTGAGCTTCGCCATACAGGCTTGTTTTTCTTTGCAATATTCAATCTTTCGATTATTCTTCATCCAATGCAAAATATCATTGCGAAATGGTGGGCGTAACGGCGTAATGTGTAAAACACTCTTCCGCGTGTTTCGGCCCGGAATCTTCAATCTGAGCGAGATCTCGGGCTCAGGATGACCTACCACAACACGACCTACCAAGATGCCTGCAATCTCAGTGTCGCCGTCTGGATTGGAGAAGCCGTCGTTGAATCACCGATCGGTGGACATCATTGAGTGCAGTTTTTCGCAAAGCATTTGGAATTGGGGAGCCGCAGACAGCTTCAGGGGGCGATGACTGCATCAAGACTAGGTCAGTTGCCATGCGACAATGTAAGTAGCGAGGCCAACTTCTGGATCTTGGGCGAGCTGCAGTTCTTAGATGTGGAGGTGCATGGCAGAAATGCCAGCGTTGAAGAGGCCTCAATAATGGAGCCTTCTTCACTTGTGTTTGATGATGGCATTTGGATGCATTGATAGATGTTGATGTTGCAGCAAGTTGGCGTTGCCAGAACTTAGGTGGTGAATGAGAGCTTGTCCATTTTGCTCACCTATCTTGCCTGTAGCTCCAGCAAAGTGAGCCGGCGATTGGGACGAAGAACTTTTCTATACATAGTCTATATCCCTTTGGGATAGGTTGTCGATTGTATGCCAGAAAACTACACATTGGATGCTAGTAAATACAGCTGTTTCCACACCACTTCTCCATAAAGACTACACTGCGCAGACCCTTGACACTCCACTCAAACCGCATATGCAGAAAGACTCATGTTGCCTTTGCCCACCGTGTGGTTCGTTTCCGGAGGGGCAGTATGGTATAGAGCCTATAGAGTAACCAATGGATCTGGCTTGCCTGAGTTACATGCTGCGACTGGGTGTGCATCTGCGAACCGCGTTTCCATACTGGACAAACAGGGGCAGAATTAGCAGGTCATCCTTCCCTCACCCTTTGTCTTCTCATCTCCTTAGAGTCATGTCATGAGTCATGAACAGTCTACAACTGGGTGTGCTCCATCCACGGTCTGCAGACCAGCTCTGTACAGGCAGCCGGCTGCTTCGTGACCGTGCGAGGGAGCGCCAATTCGGCGAACTGGGTCCAGAACAGCATGATGGTGCGGGCATGGCGCGGGTGCGGAGTGATGTGTGGAATGAACTTGTGCGTGAATGCAGTGATCGTGTCATGTCTCAGAGGGCATTTTGGTGTCCTTTTTTCGGGTCTTCCCCCCCAAATGTCGGGGTGCCCATGACTTAGAGCTGCGTAGTTCGTTCGTGGTGATAGGTGTCAAGGAACCAGCTAATTGGTGTGTTGATGATAATTCAAGTGTGTGAAAATGTATATATATTTATATATTTTTGTATATGTTATACATGCCAAACCTGAACCCACATGCTGCCAAGCTTCAATTCTCAAAATGACACTGCCTGCGGAATAAGACTACCCTTCTCCTCGGTCTCGCACTTGTGCAACGCTCCACATCCTATGCACCCCCTTACCCACCTGAATGGCTGTTCCTAGGCCGCAGGACGAGGGATTGAGGAAAGGATTGTTTCCAGATTTCACGAAGCCAGCAAGATGCCTCCCCCATTCATTGGGATGCTGAAATGAGGGCAAGACGATCCCCACAGTATCTGATTGTGGGTGATTGTGTCAAAAGCTAGGTGAAACAACATATCATAGTTTCCTCGGCCTGTTTTGATGAGGACGGGCCTGTTCGCCACACACCTGGCAGGATGCGGTGGATCCCCAAATCCAGGGATGCAAGGGCTGCGGCGTCCGAGAGGGTCCTTTGGGCGGCAGTGGATGGAGAAGGAGAGATCAGCCATGCAGTGAGCTTGCTGCGCTTTGGATCACCATTTTTTGCAGGTTTGGTCCACAGCAAATTTGGAACCAGATGTCCTTTATGGTCCCTTCACCGTTCAAGTGCTTCAAGAGAGGTCACCATGATGCCGATGTTCTTGACCTGGAGCACACAAATGAATGAGCATGCAACCGCTGATGCCAACGTGTGTGCTTTCTTTTTTTTTTAAACTGTGGACTGGACATCTCATTTGAAGAACCCTGCTGTTCTTGGGACGCTGGGCTTGGGACTGGGAGCGCATCTTTGGCAGAACGTCTAAAAACAGAAAGCTTTCGGCGGATGCATCAACGTTCACACCCAGAGTTGGTCTATTGGCAATCATGTCACCGATTTCTCCGTTCGTCCAGCACGAGTCCAAAGGGCCGGGCTCAGTCGGTGTGAGTACCAAAGGGACAGTGAAGGATCTGAGCATATCCGGAGTGGTTTGGAGCATTCTTTTTCAGCATATCTCTGGATCACACCCTTACTCAATTAAGGGCTAAACAAACTCTAGGTCACCGACTACGCAGGAAGCGAACGGGTCACGCAGGACAGCTCGTGAGCTTCGCTCCCCCGCCGGGTTCAGATTCATGACACAGTGAGCGGGCCCGCCGTGTGTTCGGCCGGGCATCTGCGACATCGGGCAGCGATATGAGGTTATTACAGCGCCTATCAAGCAATCGTTGGCCCTGTAACAGACTACTTTGAATCTCGGCACGATAGGTGGCACAGGTAGGTGGCTTACTCATCAGACTTGACCTGCTCCTTGGTTTTCATCACTCTATACATCATGATACCCTTAGTTTTTTCCTTTTCAATTCATGGAAGAACCGGCTGACATGATGTTTTTTTCCGTTGTCTTCTGATTTCCCTCTCTCAAAGCGTTTGGACACTGGCCTTGGACCGGTTGACGGAACAGCAAGCCACGTCACTTCTACCATACCTCTTTGCACGCTATGCTCAAAGCGGGGTACAGGCCCCACAATAGAACATACAAGAACTGTGCGCTTGGTCATATCGTGTGACAGAGCAAATGAAACAATGTAGTCAATCCAGCGTCAAAAGAAGGATACTTGTAGGATTTGCCAAACCTTGGGCCAAACCTCCTTTTGTTGTGTACGCGGTCCTTGTGGGTGCCTCACGCTCTAGTCCAGACCACTGTGCTCTGGACTAAGGACAAGCATGGCTGCGGAAAGGCCAGCGGAAGATTCAGTCGCTCACCAGATTGAGTCTGCAAAGTTGAGGGTCCATGAGCTGCTTTTTGGTTCGTTTCACATGCAGAGGGCGAAGAGCCGAAGAGGCAAGCGAACAGTATCCTCGGATCGCAGCCGGTATACAACCTCCCCAAAGACGGCCCTAGGCTTCTCGAGTCGGTGTGGGACTTGTCCACAACTCGAGTGTTTCGTTTTGCTTTTCGGTGAAAACATCAACTCACCCCGAGGTTACTTGAACAGTCACCATAATGGACAGCTAGGTTAGCAAAGCAAGGTTTCCCAACAACTTCGGCCGAGTCATTTGCTATGTTCGGCTCACAAACCTCAAAGTGGTTCATCAAGCGGCCTAGACCTGATAAGAATAGCGGGGTGCACTCCTCTCTTCAAAGTCAGTTGTTTCCAATTGACCTTGTGAAACTCAGCGATTTATGCGTTTTTTTTGGGGGGAACTCTCCCATGACCCGAAACAGGGTGACAGGCCGCCTTCGCTGACCAGGGACAGAATCCCATTTGGGTCAGCGGTCATTCCTTGGGCGGTGCCGTTGCCCACCTCTTGATCGCTGGGCTCACGGGGCTTGGCTTGTCGGCAGAAACAAGAGAGAGAGAGAGAGCTGTTGGGCGTGAGCACCCCCAGTATTGGTGTATTGGCGTTGAACTGAGGGTGAACCGACATTTTGAGACACAAAAATGAGTCCTGGGAACAGGAACGTGAAAAAAGGTTAGTTAGAGTGTGTCAGTTTCATAGACCTTCTCAGAATGGACTCCCGAAGGTAACAGGTCTTTGCGGCGAATGGGCCAAGTGCTTTTACCTTTAGGGTTTTCAATGGTGGCTGCCTTTTCAATTTTGCTTGTGCTTATTGGAAACTAAACAGATCACTTGCACATGGATTTGCACGGAGATCATGGGAGTCCGGGAGAGGGCCAACTGACACAAGCATGCGACATTATGAAAACCACAACGATTCGAAACTGCACAACGAAACTCAAAGTACAAAAGGGTTCCTTGTATGGTGGTCAGGCGTGGTACCAAGATAGTGAGAATTGATGGCTGGCCCAATAGTCCGTACCCCCCGAGTACTATTGTACTCCCCAAATAGTAACATAAACTGGTGTTTGTAATAATAGGGGGCCTATTTGGGGGAAGGTTTCTTGTTAACGGGAATGTTTGCGATCAAAAAGTGGAAGCCTTCCCTATCCCCCATATAAAGACCATATGGACGAAGGCGTTGTTTTGAACTAGACAAAGAATCAACGCCATTTATGCATGAAAGAAACTGCTGTTTTTACTATGCCATTGTTTTGTCTATTGAATATAGACTATCTTGGCCTGTAACATGTCCCTCAAAGTAAGCAAACAAGGTGGAAATGGTGCAATAAAATAGTGAACAAATCAGTTTCTAGCAATGAGGGACGCCCAAATTGCCATGGGTCTTTGGGAGCTGCTTCAAAACTAAATATATAATGAGTTGCCTAGCATTAAAGTTTTACTGTATCTAAAATCCTCTATTGAACAGACACACACACACACATACACACCCACATGTATATATATATATATATACATACACACACACGCGCGAATCGAAGGATATTCTCAGCTCTCTTTACAATATTTATCAATGCATTAAAACAAGCAACCATTTCTTTCTTGCAAAGTCTCCATCAGGGTAACAAACAAGTATTTTGAAAGGGCGCAATTAAGGTACGAACTAAAAGCAACCGAGGGGTCGCCAAAGAATCGTGTTTAGTATTGGGGAATTTTGTGTTTCTTGCAGGCACCTACAGCGCACAGTGCTTTTCAATCCGCACCGAGCATCGGTTGATCGTTAATCCCTCAGCTGAGGTTACACGGCCGGACTCTCAATGTAGCTGGGGAGGACACAGGGGTCTTCACCGCATTATATCGAACCCTAGGCCATGTGGTTACGGTTTAACGATATATTATGATCTTCTCTTCCTCAAGGTGGTGCAGCTCGCTATAGGTTGCCCCTTTTTTTTCTCAATGCCCAAGGTAGAACAACAGGTTGCTTGTTGGGAAGGTTGACGAAGAAAAACACACGTGGCTTTGTTGGGGTCAGGACTGTCAGGACAGCTTGTTTTTTTTTTTTTTTTCTGAAGCAGAAATCAAAGTAGAGACCTCAGGGTAGCATTCGTCACTTAACTTAAAACATCCACGACAACCCCTTTTGTCCCTTGTCATTTCCATTGGTTTGGGATGTGAGTGATTCGGGGCGAATTCGAAAATGATGAACAGCGACTTGATGAAGTCATATTTAATTGATCCTACCTCCACACTGGACTCCACACCAAGGTTTCTGCTGCAGTAAAGTTTTTGATGACAAGATAGGTTTGTTGATTGTTTCAGCGTGATTCCAACTGTACCAGCACTTTTGGCAAGATTCAGCATTTGCACCTGTGGTTCTGCCAGTTCTCAGGTGGCACTCTCCTATGTCCTGGAGCCCGCATTGAGTGGGAACGATGCTTTCCGACACTTGGGAGGTTGATCCAGAAGCACTCTGGGTGAAAGAAAACTATGTGAAAGACCTCAACCCGATTAAGCAGCTGCTAGGTGACGTGATATTTGGAATTATTTGGGGGGACCCTAAAGTCTAGAACATCTATGAAAAACTGCCTACTCCAAATACGCATCAAAATTTCTGAGTGAATCCTGAGGAAACTTTTTCGTGGAGAAAGTCGCTAAAGATCACCCACCGGTGCCTGCATTCAGCCTGACCAACGGCTGGGACTGGGTGCCACGTCCGGGCCGCCCAGTGTCACCCGGACCCACGTCGTCACCAGGGCCGCCAAGTGGAGATCGAGGTAGCTTTAAAACAGCTTCGAATAGAGCAGGGTGCCCTCAGTTGAAAGGGCAGAGTGAGAAATCTGCCGGGGTCTTAACTTATTTGCAGTAGTTGAAGACATGCTCTCTAACCTACCCATTTCCACAATTGGATTTCCAGTGGCTTGTAGGTGACTAATATTGCATTTTCTTGATTCGATGCACCTTTGCACGAGTTCCTGAGGCATGCCATCTGACATGATGCACGGGTATGTCCCGATCCCTTTCGACGCTGGGTTCTGTTCATTGCTGGGTTCTGTCCAGCCGGTTCACCGGGGGCTTGATTCATGTCCAAGCTTGTAGAATATACTTATACTTATAATTACTTGTATAATCTTATACATGCATATATATATATATAGATATGCTGCATTTGTATATACACATGGTTATCGTTCCCTGATGCTCGGCCTGGGCCTCTCACATGCATCCAAAAACACAAGCCAGTAAAGTTTCCAGCATGACAGGACGTTTGCGATGACTGTCACAGTGTGTGTCAAAACACGGATACTACTTCCAGTATCACTCTTTTCCAAAGTCTCCAGCTTTTGCTGAGCAACACACAGAGAATTCTCCTGAGCTTCTTGTTTCTCTCCTCCTCATCTCACGTGAAAGTCTATTCTTCGGGTGATTGAACCTTGGAAGCTTTTTTCTCCCTTCGGCTAGCCGCAGTGTTTTCTGGGGTATGGTAGCCGGGATGGAGCAAGATTTTGTCCATCAACAGTATACATGCAGTGATAGTATAATATGTGTTTCACAAAAAACACATCATTCACCCAAACTCATCTCCGCTCATTGATCCAATAGATTCACTTGAACTATCTCTGGGGAGGGGGACTGAAGAGCATCTGTCCATCACTACATGGCTGACATCTAGTCTACACAGTGGGCAGCATTCATTTCTGTGCAGACCAATATGCTCTGAAGATATGCAGAGCGTGGCCCATGGGTGCCCCGAGTCCACGGTACCAAGGACATCCACTCTGATCCGTGGTCGGGTTCCTTGTCCGTTTGCTTTGATTCCCTGGCGGAGCTTCTACCCGCCGCTTGCAGCTCCTTGGCAAATTCACCAGAACCTGTGCCGGCGCACAGCACTGAAGTAATGATGGCTGGCTGTGCTGCAGCACTGAAGCACCTTCCTAAGCACTGAAGCCACTGAAGTGTTGTTTTAAGGATTTCTGGCTTTGTCTCAGAATGGGGACACAACTCCGCTCACCCGCTCTGGGTTGGTCTGTTTTGCCCATCTCCGGGGGAGCTACTAGCTGGTCTGCAACTTTCAGAAGCTCAAACTGGAATGGTTTGGTGAACGTCAGGAAATTCCATGGAATTCCCGACCTGGCGCAACAAGTCTTGCGACACTTCGGATCTTGTTCTCCACCCAGTGTTGAAGCAAATGGTTGGTGCTTCCGTAGATGAACGACCCCATACACTTCCACCCCCACACCCCAAAGCTCAAGTTGACATTCTTTCCGGAGACTCGGGCCGAATGGACAAAACAAAATCAAACTCCCAGGTGCCAAAGACATATGAACTTGTAACTTGTAACATTGAGATTTGAGGTGGGTTCATGGAGACAACATGTTCTGGGGTTTGATTTCTGTATGTTGTCCATCTACCGTAGGACCCCGATGCATCATTTACTCCTCAATCTACTAGTCTTTTTTGTCCAAGCTTTGGGTTCTCAGTGTGTGACCCTCCATCCAGATGTCAAATTCAATGATGCTTCAGAAGCATTGCTTCTTAAATGTACAGAATGTAGTTTTAGTGTGGGAGAGCGGTTGGATCCTTTGCTCATATTCCTTAGCGGTTGGCGTACCACAAGAGAGCAAGCAAATATTGTTCCTCTCCATGGCGTCTGTTTTGTAATCGGTTTCTTCGGGAACATCGCTATTCCAGCAAATTTCTACACGTTCAACTCGTCGTTCATTCAAGCTTCCCCAAACCATCAAGATCGCTGCATAGCTCCCAGTGCAGCCCCCAGTCAGTTGCTCTTCTGCACAAGTTCCTTTGCAGCGAGAAACAGCAGCGAACAGTCACGGCTTGGAGTTCGAAGCTTCAAGCTCCTTTCCCAGGTAGTGAGTTGGCCTCGCTATTAGGTTGGAGGCCATCGCTGCTAGGGTGAAAGCCATCGATACTAGGGTGAAGGCCATCGCTACTAGGGTGAAAGCCATCGCCATTAGGAGGCCATCGCTATTGGGTTGGAGGCCATCGCTACTAGTTACTAGGGTGGAGGCCATCGCTACCAGGTTGAAGGCTTCAAGCTCCTTTCTCAGGTAGCGAGTTGCTAAGGATTTCTTAGATTCTGAGCTTTCTGATGGGTAGAGACATTCCAAGGTCCTGACTTGAAGTCTTGGTGGACCGTGGCCTCCTTGTCTCTTGGCAGTCAGAACCATTGACATTTTGGTGGTTTCCATAGGAGTACTGTATATAACGCACATTATTGTCACATTATTCAAGAGAAGGAGTGCAGAACCTTTGGGCCGCACCTAGAGTGGCCTAGAGGAGAGTGGGGGAGGACCGTGTAAATCTCCGCACCATTTGAATGGAGATTCAATAATTGAAGGCCTGTATTGTGCCTTCATGCTGTTGCAGGGTTGTAGGGCAAGACTTGTGACAGGAGTGAAGGGCAATTTCACGACACGTCTCACTGAGTGTTTGGGCCATCACATGACGTCAGGGTGAGACTTCCAGCGAGACTTACCGTGTGGACAGAGATCCAAATGCAGTGCTGTTGGGTTTATAGGTGTGATTGCATCAAATAAAGGGACTTCCATCGGGGACTGCTGCCCATAGCCTGTTGCCCACAAGCCCAGTGTCCAAGTTTTGTCAGCCAGAACAAAGAGTCTTCCTGAACTCAAGTGACGCCCGGGCATAATTTTTAATGTATGAATATAAATCCAAGGTCCTGTATTGGAACATGTACTCCAGACAACAAAGATAAGCACAAACAAAGGTTTTCCCTTTTTGAAGCAATTCAATAGCACAACACAAGTACCCCAAGAGCATTCTTGCCCAAGCCCTAGCCACTGTTTGCTCCCACATAAACCTTCTTTGCGTGATTCGGGCAGAGGTTGAAACAAAACAAAGGATGTTCTCCTTTCAGAGTATTGGAACCTGATTTTGTATTCTTGTGAACTAGGCTTGAATATCTTGTTTGGGAAGTGCCCTCTTCGGACGATGCACAGAATGTCGGTGTGATCTGGCCGTTCCTTTCCTCTCAAGGCCGACCAAGAGGGACATTATTAAAACCAAGCGATTTTTGTTGACACATCGACCAAGCCATCGACCAGGACTATCGACCACACCATCCTGTGGCCGACGGCTCAGCAACTTTTGGGCTCAGAATGAGGAAGGGACAAAACACCTGACCTGTCAATTGTGGGTCGGAGTCTTTGGCTTCATACTTCTCGCTCTGCAAGCTGTCGCAGGTACGCTCCCAATAACCACATGATCCTGGATAACATGGTTTCCGAGGCACGGCTGGGGTGCGTACCGAGGGAGTGCGTACCGGGAGTTGGGTGCCCCAAGTGTGTCGAAGAAGTGAACCCCGCCACGCGAACGAACCATTACCATGCACTTGTTCCTAGTAGTAAGGCACCTGTTACTACTAGCGTGGCACTTGTTACTACTAGCTTATTGCTTCTAATAGCTTCTTGTTACTACTAGTAAGGCACCTGTTACTAGAAGCGATGCACTTGTTACTACTAGCTCATTTTTCCATCCAGGTTTAGTTTAATTGCGGCTGCCTAGGATTCTGCTGGCCACTTGGTGAACTCTGCACTCGTTTTCTTTTTCTCGTAGTATTCACTGATGACAATAGCTGTTCATCAGGCAAACTGGCAGCAACTGGCTACTGATTCATCTACGTAGCCATTTTTTTGTGGTATTTCTTTTTCCGTCAGTCTTCCCTCGCATTCCCAATCCAACCTTTTTGATTGGGCCAGGTCTGCAAGGCTCATCCAAACCGACTACTGCTTGCGTATCAATTGACGACAGCAGGCACCGGGTGGCACAGTGGCAAGGGGGTGGACAGTTTGTGAACACATTTTTGTTATTTTTTATTATCAATTTTTTTATTTATTTTTATTTTTTTTAAATCACATCTATTTACAATCTTTCTGCTTTCTCTACCCATGTTCAAAAGAATAAGCCTTGACAGAGCGAGCACTGCACCAGGAAAGAGTGACTGTATTCTCCATCACAGAAAGCGCTCCGAGAGAGCTTCTTTCATCTTACAAATGACCTTCTTGTTTCAGCTGGATCTGATTGCTGTGCACTCTTTCTGCCTGAAACAGCCTTGCACCAACAAGGAACATCACAGCGGGCACCCAATCAAGATCTCAAACACTCAAAGCAATCGCTCTTTCCGAGTCTCATTTGCTGCTGGTACAATAGTAGAGGTAATGGGGTTTTTGTTCACATCTAGGATTTGTTCTCCTCCGGTCTTCCATTGTCTTCCCTGCGGAGGTGTATACAGCTTCATGTATGGCAGCGGACTTTCAGGGTTTGCCACTGGGGCAGCAGAGGGGCCAGAGTGACTGTGCTTCAGGGTGAAGACTTTGGAAGCTGTTGAATTCGTTTGTTCTTCACCAATGTCCATGCCGGACAGCCTTCCACATGCAAAAGGTCATTGGTAATGTCATTTTGCGCTCTGAAAACCCTTCCAGAATTTAGTCCGTCGGTTGGTTTCCTGTCCTGAGTTGATGGACAAGTCTTCCTGCACAACCTGAAAGCTACTAGTGGATTGCCCCACGCCCCACCTCTATAGAGTTTACACAGGATTCGGCATCCAAGGGAGTTTGTTGTGGGATAATTTCCAATATCTACTACACTACGTAGATTTTGCAAGTGAGATTTTTCTCTTTGCTTCTCGGAACATTTTGGTGATCCCAAAACAAGGCGTCTTTATATGTCTAAATCAGGTTTGGTGAAATCATCCATTGACAGCCACTGTTTGAAGCCGTGAAGTCTCAATCTGTCTCATTCAATCAGTTCCTGCTACCCTTCAGCACCCACCAAACACCTCAACAGGAACAGAAACAAGTCAAGTCAATACCCTTTGAAAAGGCGGCGCTATTGTTTGGGGCAATCTGTCTTATTTTTCCAACTCCAGAGCTCATCACCTTCATCAGCACCTTCATCAGGCACTGAAGCTGAACTTCATCCTCCTTTTTTCGTGCTGCTCAGCAGCTGGGCAGAACACCGCTCTCGGACCGGTCTGGTTGGACCGGTCTGTCGGTCTCAACGGAGGTCGAGCCTTTCGCGCTCTTGAAAAAGCCAAGCCTTTCGGCGGTGCAAGGTGTTTGAAACTTAGGAAACACGGTTATGACATATTATGAAACAGCTTGAGGAGGGTCTAAGTTTTACTGTACAAGCCATGTAAAACGTGGTCCTGGTGGTATGTCCAACAAGTGTCCTGGGCAAACGGATAGTCATCAGGGCAAGGGTGCGTGTAGTTCTACCCTTTACACTGAATTATCAGTAGTCAGAACCGTTTTGATATTCCACTATTGGCAGCTCACCAGACGTCACCGATGACGCGGGCATGGATTTTTGTTCCTTCAGCCGTCGGCGGTGTGCAAGGTCGATTTGAATGGGGAAGGTTTCCAGCATTTGAAAACGAACGACGTAGTATCATCAAATGTTTGTTTTCCGGTTGCCAAAAGAACTCATTCAATTTGTTGGAGTTCTTTCGACATCCCCCAGAGTTACAACAGAAATAGCTTCACGAGTGGGCCACTTGGGGTGATGTAGCAGAGTATGACCAGACTGCATCCACGTTGCAAAACATGCGCATGCAAGGCATGGTTTCGGGCAACACGAGTGGGCCAGTTGAGAGGCCTAAACGAGTTTGTGCTGCCAGGTCGGATGGTGCATTTTTTGCTGCTGCTTCCATTGCTGCGGACAACCCCCTAAGTACCAAAAGATCCACCCAAAGAGTCGAGAAATGCCGTGATCCAAAGAAGATCAGCTAAGATTAGGCGCCAAAAGCTTGGGCTCAGCCCAGAAAGCAAGAGAGATTGCTGCTTCTTCTGCAGAGTTAAGCTGCTGTAGAGAGAGGCAGATATTAAAGTGAAAGATCCCCATACCTGTGGGTGTTTGGCATTGAACACCTGTGGGACAAAGATCCCACTCGTACAAAGAGCCTGGGCCCTTGCGGCCAACAGTCCACGGCGACTTATTGTGCAGCAATAGGCTGTGCTGTTTGTCCCGCGAAAAGGAGCGAAAAGGCAGAACTCGACTCGACTCAGGGTCCAACGATGAAGGACACGTCCTTTTTTTCACGCGGGGTTATCACTCCGAAACGCTACCAGCATGGACTACTAGGGGTGTCAACATGTGTCAACCTACCACATCCTGCCCCGGTTTTGAGGCGTTTGGTCTCGACCCACACTCACACCCTTCCATGCTCGGCGCTAGCCATTGGCTCGAGCATCGCTCCTTCAGCGATGTGGGCCGGGTGGCCAAAGCAATCACCATGAATCAGTCGCACGAACAATTTCACCTGTGAGGCCTTCCCCCTTGATAGGAGTGCACACAGGGGGTCTATTTTTGGGTTTATAGGGTGTTTGGATGTGTTTGGCATCATTTAGGTACTGCTTGTTGCAACTTTCATGTTTTTGTTTGATTCTGTAGATTGAGAACACCTTATTTTTGACAAGTCCGCCTGCTTGGGCAAAAAATATCCCACCCTGAACAAAGAAACACCTGTAGTAGCTGAAGACCAGTGTTCCAGAATTGAACCATCGGTTTATCAGGCAATGCACTGATGACAGTAGTTTGGACAACGAATAGACCTGGAAGATATTTGTGAAGACCCCGATTCTCTTTGTCTTAGCAGAAAGGGCTTTTAGTTTCAAGGTCCACTTGCTGGTACCCCGTTGCAAAGGTGATTTCTGTGCTAAGAAGAGCAGGGATCGTGCAGGACGTTGCAAAAGACGTCAAACCTCGGGCTGCAGGTACCGTTGCAGGAGTACGCTCTGAATTTCCCTGCCAAATCTTGAGTCACACGTCTTTCCAATCAGAAAATTGATCCCTGATTGGGTGGGTTTCACCGTGTTTCGCCCAGACACAGCGCTTTCACATCCGAAGGCATCGTAGGCCTCCCTTTTCTTCCACGTGTTTTTGTTGAGGCGACGGAAGGCATCTACCCCACCGCCGATGGCTGGATACCTCCTGCATGGCCCAGCAACGAGGACTGGCGCAGCAACGGGGCCGAATTCATATGATTTGGAATTGCTCCAGCTCGGGGTCCCGGCGCGGATTTCGATGTGACTGAAAGTTGCTGGAACTCAAGTAGATGGGGAAGAAGCACGGATTCCAAGTCCATGTTACTCCATGTTCTGTAGTTGGAGCATTTTTGTGGAGTTTTTTTGAGTGGATGAGCAAAGTAGTATGGGCTGCCTTCATGGATTTGCTGTCATGCTGTCTTTCAGTTTAGAGAACACCATCGTCTGGATGGGCCATATTCATCTTGTTGAGAGGCAGTTTGTTCAGGAAAAACTGCCCACACAACACCCTGATCATCCAGCACTTTGAGACCAACAATAACACCCACATCACTCCATATCATTCACATGTGATCGAGGTGACCGATGAGGTTACTCTTTGCTTCTCTCATTTCTCTCCACCAAGGCGGGCAATGCTTCTTTGGTAGACACTCTCTCCTAGTAAAGTGGCTAGAGATCCTTGAAAACTGCAGAGGAACTCTGCAGGAGCTGTGTTCCTACGCTTGTGACCCCCCTTTCTGCTGCAGGAGATCATTGCCAAGGAGGACCTAGAGAGGGCCAAGGTCAAAAAAAGCCTGGTGAAGCGTGACTTGTCCGCAAGACCGAACACGGCCTTTTCAAGGCCTTACGGCCTTGCTGTCCCCAAAAGTGTGTCATGATTGAGCAAAGCTGCTAGAAGCTAGCGTGCTTAGCAGCTTTGCCTTAGCACACTTTAAGACTTTGGCAAGCTCATCAAGCCTAGATAGGCTCTGGCATAGGATGAACACCTCAAGAGGGTTGCCGCCTCGTTTTGGAACGCAAATTTCGGATCGGTTTCGGAACGCGACCTTGAGATCAATGTTTCTTTGTGCATTCCCCCATTTCCTTGGCGGATCGGAACGCACAGGTCCCCGGGTTTCCAGCCTCCGAGCGGGGCACCGTGATTGGCGGTTTGCCATGACAAACACATTCAAACACTGAAACGGCCGCACAATATTGGGGTTTGCGCACAAAAAAGATCGTTTTCTTTAAGCAGTGGCAGGGTGGTGAGAATGGGCACACGCTCCAAAAGTATCCAAAAATATTATCAACGTGTTGTAAGACTGCGTAAGACTGCGGTCTGAGGGGCTTTGTGCTTCTCTCGTCGAAAGTGATTTGAGTTCCCAAAGACGATCCATTTCATGTGAGCAGCGTTCTACATTCACCCATTCTTTTTGAGTCAGGGACCGGCGAAGAATCAGTGACAGTAAGTTTAGCTGATGTTTGTAAGGTGTCCGTAAGGTTTGCCGTAAGGATGTGTAGATTTGAACGATGCCGTAAGGCTACCGGAAGCGGAACTTGTTTACTTTGATTCTGTTTCCTTTCCTGTCTTGCAACAACATACCACATGTGACCACAGTGGACTTGCATACCTCCGACACGTAAGAATAGCCACGCATACATGTGTCACAGTAAGCAAAACATAGAAAAACGCAAGCCTTGCAGGCCTGCCGTAAGGTTTGATTTCTCGGCAAGAAATGACACCACCATCTTGAACACCGCTCATGTGTTCCTACTAGAAGCAAGAAGCTACTAGGTGCAGGCCATCACTACTAGTAACAAGAAGCCTGAAGCCTGTTTGTTTTCCATTTCATGTTTTCCTAGATGGGCAGGGTGCCCCCGTGGTTTGCCGATTCCGGGAGTTCGCCATACCGATCCGCTTGCTACGGCGGTGGGTGCTGTTCGCCAGGAACAGCCATTGTAAAGGGCAAGCACATTGAAACAGCTCCTGGGACCGCACCACCTGCGTCACTTTTTAGGGCCTAATTTTAGGGAAGATTATTTTCCACTGAAACCTTTCAAAAGATTGAAAAGGGAGGAGGTTGAGAAGATTCCAGCTTTCTTCTCAATGTCTCGTGGCCTATTTTTTTATTCATCAAGACACCTTTAAACATGGTGTCTTGCTGCCCCACAAAGTAGTCTCACTCTGCCTGCTTTCCAGGTGTTCTTCCAGCACACGGCATCTCATTGGGGACTTTGAGACTACTTAGGAGCAAGAAGCTAGTAGAAACAAGTGCATCGCTACTAGTAACAAGTGCCTTACTAGTAGTAACAAGAAGCTACTTGTAACAAGGACGCTATGCTTGGATTCCAAGCTGTCTTAGACACACCTCTCACCTCTCGGGGATGGCCCAGGTGCTCAGCGTTGATTTCATGAACAAATGGCGCTTTTCGCTGATGGACGGGCTCTCGGTCTCAGAGAATGTTCCGGTAATGGTAGTCTTATATAGGCAGGTATGTTCTCACTCAAAGCAGGCAGCCCTCCCATGTCACCTGTCTCACATCATAGGATATCATTGAAGGGCGTCACGCTTAAAGGAATACTCCCCCACACCTCACCCGCAAGTTTTCCCATACAATAGACACTGGTTTAACTTATAATACCATATATATATATATATAACTCAATGCCTACATGACAGTCAAGGCAGCAAGACCTGGTCAAAGAATGCAATTGACTCGCAGCTAATAGCAGATCGATGTTCTTCCATGTTGTTTTGGAGGGTTATGCCTCAGATATGGAGACAATGTTGATAGAATGACAGGCATTGTCGCAAGTCTGGCCCTGAAGTTCGTGCCATCGCGGATCTGTGAAGAGGACATCCTTGAAACGTCTTGAAACTCTGTAGATTGGAGGGGCAAAGTACTGTATATTGGAAAGGGTGTTGTTTTTGCTAATGGGCTTAAAACCGCGCGTGTAGTGAAACTGATTTTTCATACAGTCCTTTCGGGGGGGCAAGAACACACACGCAAACACACGCATTGGAATATGGAAGATGGGGACACTGGGGGGTTAGGGGGGAGGGGGGGTTGGGTGGGGGGCTAGTGATGTTCATGTTGTGTGCATTTTTATTAGGAAGCCACACACGCACACGCAGGCTGGAATTCTTGTTCTAGTTACAAAGGGGCCCAAAGGGAAATGAGTGGTGATCATCTTCTCGCAGGTGCGTGCAATCTGCGTCCAGATTCCATATCACAGCAAACTTGAAGTGTCTTCGTTGAGCGGTGACTTCAAGAATGCCCACCGCTCCCCTGCTATCAACAGTAGTAAAAAAGTCAGGCATTACATTCCAAAAGGATCCCTGTGACTTCAAGGGGCACACACACAGACAGGTCGGTACACACAGGTGGTCGGGGTTTGTCAGTTCTTTCTTTAGACGTGGTGGTTGCTGACTGCTTGCTTACTCCGAAGTTTTTCCGTTCGGGGGATTGTCAGATGCTTGAGGTCAGGAGAGCTGTTCATCCACACCGGTGCCATTGATGGTATGTGGCGTTTGTGTAAGGGGTCGGTCCCCACTAGCTTGCGTTCACGTGAAGGTGACGGTATAAACCCAAACATCATGAAGTTCACTCGACAGTGGCAATGGCGCTGGCACCAGAATAAAGGCGATCTTCTGACGAAGCTGGGTCAGAAGTTGTCCCACAGACTGTGATGATGATGCTGGAGGATGAATTTGCGCGCCTTTTTTTGGCACGAAACCACAGTCTCGCAGCACTTCGATGTCAAAATCGCAACGATTTTTGAGTCGTTTTCATGTACGACATGCTGCAACAAACCTTTCACATCAATGCAAAACACGGTCACACACCGGACATTCGTCATCATTGACCACGTGAAGATTTGACAAATGTCCTCAACCGCACGCGCAGAAACGAGCCCGGCGGGTCTTTTTTGACCCTATCAACCCCAATGACCTCATGACAAGACTTAAGAAACTGAGTGCCGCATTGAGTGCAGCATTGCTTCCTGATGCAACTCCCAGGCCTGTGCATGGTTTTTCTCCGCTGCAGGTTTGGCCTTTGAAGGAAAGCTCCAAGCTTTCAGGCCGTGGTGACAATCGCAGCTACGTGCCTCGGCGGGTTTGGAGGTGCTTCGTGTCGACATCGATTTGGGCGATGCCGGCACCGCAAAGATGTAACCATGATTTACCGTGTTCGGTGTTGCCTTCAAAGATCCAAGCAGAAGAGAGGTCCTATTCGATTGGTCAAAGCCGCATGGTCAAGAGTTGGAAGTATTGCTACCATGTCGGAGACCCGCTTGGTACTTCAGGTTAGCACTGCCCCCTGTGAGACCTGAATATGACGTAAACCCTTATTTCCGCATGCTTTCATTTGGAGAAAAAGGGAAGGCATATTCCTCGGGAATATGACTGCCATGTCTTTTCAATGCATAATATCTCAGGTTTTCTTTGTCTCCACCTCACGGGTAAGCTCAGCCTTTGATCATGTAAGCAGAGAACAAGTATAAAGTATAGGTTCATCTTGCACATTTTGCAATCTTAGGTGTGCTGGGTGTACTACGAGCAGCAAGATGAGCAATCTGTTTGGCTCTCAGTACTGAGGTCATCTTTCACTTGGGTCGAGGCTGAAACGTTCTACCACCTGGCCTGTGGCAAGACTGGATAACGCAGAAGGTTCAAGCACACAGCAATTCACACTGTGTCCCCGAAGAAGGCATTACTCCTAATGCAGCTTGCCAGATGGACAAACACTGACAAGCCAGTACTGATTTCACAAGGGTCGGGGCGGGCCCTCTATAACGCTGAGGTAGGCTCAGTGTCTTTAGTGTATCATGATTTACACCCCTACGGACTTGTAAAACTATGTTGTTTTCAAGGCCCCCAGCATAAAGCCCCTACAGAAGCATTCATGAACCAGTCCAGGAGATTTCCACTGTTGGTCTTCTCAAAACCTCCATTCAGTTTGCACTGAGCCCAACCACTTGAGGTTCTGAGAGCGTTCAACAATGTGGAAGTAAAGCTCAAGGACAGCGAGCGTGAGGTGCCTTGCGGAGAGCAATTTTCGGACGGATGGAGGTGTAGACAGATGAGCTTATTGCTTCTAATAGCTTCTTGTTACTACCAGTAAGGCACCTGTTACTACTAGCGTGGCACCTGTTACTAGTAGCTTATTGCTTCTAATAGCTTCTTGCTGGGATTTGGGTCAAAATTAGATTCCTTTGCCAGGAACAAGTGCCACGCTAGTAGTAACAAGTGCCTTACTAGTAGTAACTAAGAAGCTATTAGTAATTTAACTTTGGGTCAAAATTAATATCCACAGCCACGGCTGCAAGATCCTCTCTATATGGTATGCTGGAGATGGTGAATTACCAGATGCTAAACTCTTTGGCCGGAACCCTGAGTCATTACTTGCTTTCTTTTCTTTTTGGTTCTTACACACGCTCCCCATCATGGGGTCTGGCTGAGAGGCGCAAAAAAACCAAAGTTCATGGGGTGTTGATCTACAGTTACATGCACTGATTGCATGACACAACAAGCAGGGCACCTGTTCTCTCCATGGAGATGTGGACAAGTTGACCAAAGTACCCACGTCGTATCACTTTAGCTTCCACAAATTTTCTCCAGACCTAACACACTGAAACAGTGATGTTGATTTTACTTTTACTTTTTTCCTGTTTTGACATGGTAGTGATCATCAACTGCCGCTTGGCCGCCTTGGTTCCTGTCATATGGCTCTTGTCAGTGACTTGTCAGTGTTAAGTGTCAATGCAACTGCGACACCTGCCTACTAGTAGCGATGCACTTGTTACTAGTAGCTTCTTGTTACTAGTAGCGATGGCCTCCAACCTACTAGTGATGGCCTCCATCTAATAGTGTCCTTGTTACTAGTAGCTTCTTGTTCCTAGTAGTAAGGCCCGGAGATACTAGGAACGTCCTTGCTCCTAGTAGCGATGCCCGTTGTTACTAGTAGCTTCTTTTGTGATTTGAACTCGGCCCTGTGGCGCAACTGCGGCCTCTTTTGCCGCTTTCTCCCAAGGCAGTTGATCCTGAAACGAGCATCAAGAACGAGGAGACCCTCCTGCGCGCTAAGGACTGCCGTTGGACGCTACGGAGTGGGGGATCCAATGTGACTCAATCCTCCAATCATCGGTTAACCTCCAAAATCTGACAAGGATACACACAAGGGATCACAAGGGCAAAAGAAGCATGAGGAATTCCGGATGATTTGGGATGGATTGGGTAGAGCAGAGACTTGAGTCAGGCGGCACTTCTGGGTCGGGTGGTCGAAGTGCCCGAACCCTTTACCCTCTTTGGAAGGTGTGACTTGGCCAAGCAGCCTTGTGGCCAAGGACTGCAGCAGTTGGGACTTTAATATGTTCACCATAGCTTGGCTTGCAGCGCTTAGTTTGCCGCACTCAGGTTTCACCTGTATAACACCACTTGATCACCACCTCCACACTCAGACGGTCAGCCTTGGCACCAGACTAACAGTCGGAAAAGTCATTTGGAGATGCTTCGGTGGAGGTTGGGGACTGGGGATGACTGGGGCATATAGTCTATAAATACATAATATATATAGTTATTATAAATGGTCTTGGCCCTTTTCTTCCTCAGGAAGAAGCATGAAGATATGGTGTTCTTCGGCTCCCCCAAGAAGGTTTGTACCCGGGGCTGGGCAAAGTCTTGATAGGATTGCAGAAGGACCGTTGTGCCGAGCAACGCCAACCATGAGGTTCTTCTGGATTCGGGATGGAAAGGAAGTTTGCCAGAGAGAATGTGCATAGGGATTATTTGTCAGATTCGTCGCTGTTCGGGTCTCACACTTTACTTGGAGAAGGTGAGGGTCGGGTTGGTTTGAATGCAATCATCATCCACGATCATCCACCCATTCGTGCATCTGGAGGAAGTGACTCAACCCAATGTCTGCTCTGAGTGTCTCTTGCAGGATCAAATTTGCTTCTTCAGCATGTACGAGTGGGACGCATTGACCGCTGACTAACACGGGACAGCCAGGTGTGGCGCGGTGACTGGTCCGATGTCGGACGCTTCGATCCGCCTTCAACGCCTCGTTCCGTGTGGCGTTGACTTCAATCCAACTGCGGGGCCTCGGAAGTTCAGTCTATGCTCCTTCTTAGAATGAGAGGTCTAAACATGTCTTAACTAGGCCACTTGTTCAAGACAAAACCCATTTGAAGGCTTTGTTCAAAGGGTTTCATTGAAGAAGAACCTCTTCAACATCCAAGATGTTTCAGATGGTTGAGCTCATAGGATTGATGTGATGAACTGCTTGCACAAACCTGGACGGCCTACCGACTTCATGCAGATAACTATCTCCACATCATTCCTAATCCCAGCAAAGGATGTAGTGGGATAGGCTTGTAATGCTGACGCAGATGGAAGGAAACCGACACCACCTTACGATGCAAAACGCTACTAACTATACAATATTTCTGACATTCCAGAACACTCCAGATGGTGATCAGGAAACATATAATATGATTCATTTTTTGGATTCATTTGCCCTCAACTTAACCAAACTCTAGATAAATTAAATACATGAAATGAAATCTTTATTTTCCAGGTCTTTCGAATACTTCATCAAATCTTCGTAAAATACTGAATAATATGTCTTATTGAAGATAGGGTTTATAATTAATACATTTATATGTACCATGCGTTGGTGAAATTAATCTAGGTTACTATTGAATCTCTGATTAATTTGATCGAATTAATTTTTCTTTGATGGTATGATTTTTGCTATTAGGATGGACTAATTTAAAATATGTAAATAGTTGTAATATTAATTATGAGGTAATGGAATATATACATATTTCTTTAAGAATAATTTTCTAAATTTATTTAAATGAATTGAATCATAAAATAATTAATAGATATTTAATTTTGAATATTAATTTGTATTATATATTTAAATTTAGTTGAAAGAATATATATATATATATAATGATTATTCCGGGATTTTTATTTGGAATTATTATTTTTTTTATTGTATATTTTTTTTGTTTTATAGATATTTTTAAATAATATAAATTTTGGATGGAATGGAATTTATATATTAATATATAATAAATCTATATTACGAAAGGTAGCCCTTTAGGGAATACTTTGAGTTTGTCTTGCGAAGCAAGTGTTAGGACGTCCGGGTCTAATAATTGATCGCTTAATTTAGGGCTCCCCCCC